CCCCCCCCCCACACCCCCCTACAGAAACTGGCGGATTACTCCTAACGGCGCAAGCAGGGGGCTGCTTCATCTACGAGCCACCAGGAGAGAGAGGGAGAGAAGGGGAAACTGGGGGGAAAAAATAATAATCCGATGACCGCGATGTGTGGCTTCTAGCTGTTCCAATCCGCCCAAGCACGGAGAATCGATTGGACAAAAGGCAGCAGGGAGCAGTTCGGGGGGGTGGGGGGGGAGGGGGGGGGGGGGTTGTGGGGGGGGGGGCCAAGCAGCTGAAGGCAAAGTGAATGGGGGCATCGGAAAGAGAGAAGGAAGGACAACCTGAAAGAGTAAAAGACTGGTCAATTTTCCCACTGCTTTTTTTTGGCTTTTTTTCTTTTTTTTTTGAAACCTCCACCTTCTCCACGCCGTTCGGCGATGGAGCCTCTCGGATTGCAGCCAGCGGTGGCCGTCACCCGCTGCCAAGGACAACCGTCGGGAGAGCCGAAGGAGGCAGCCTTTGAAGCGGAGCGGATTCGCAGATGCGCTTAGTGGAGGCGGCCTAACCAGCCACCGTCTGTCTCCACGCTCTTCTGGATTTACTCAGAATCTTCTGCTTGCTTTACTTCTCAGAGTTGGAAAAAAAAAAATCTGTTTGTGGGTTTTTGTGGTTTTTCTTTTTTTTTTTTTTTTTTTTTTTCTTTGGTGCGACACAGTTGCCAGGAAGCCATGAACTAAAACTCTTGAGCTGCTCTGTTGGCCGGTGACGGTCGGAAGGGGGGGGGGTGGAAAGGAAAAAGGACTTCTCTGAAACTTGGAGGTAGGTGTTGTGCGGTTCCCTGTTCCCACCCGGCTTCCTGACTATTCGATTCTCTCTCCTCCTCGCTTCCTCGAGCGCTCTCGCTCAAACGCACACACGCACGCTCGAACACACGCGCCGGCACACGGGCAGGCGGGTGGTGGAGGGGAGGGGGGGGGGGGCAGCGTCCCACACCGCTGATGGAAATCCGAGCTGGAGTCTTGCTTAAACCAGGCTAGGGCCGAGTTCTCCCTTCCCGTGTCGAATCCCCCGGACGATGCCGAATTATGAACGTGTCACATCATGAGGCTGTTGCGGCAGGTAACTGTGCTCCACACCTGGAATGCCGTCCTGCTTCTGGTAGTCTACCTCGTGCTGCTGGCGTTGAGTCGGTGCGCTGCCTCGGCGCGACCCCAGGGCTGCCCGGCAGTCTGCTCCTGCAGTAATCAGTTCAGTAAGGTGGTCTGCACACGCCGTGGCCTGACCACGGTCCCCTTGGGGATCCCGTCCAACGCTCGCTTCCTCAACCTGATGGAGAATAGCATTGAGCTGATCCAGGCGGATTCCTTCAGCCACCTCCGGCACCTGGAGCGGCTGCAGCTGGGCAGGAACGCCATCCGGCACATCGAGGTGGGCGCTTTTAACGGGCTCACCAACCTCAACACGCTGGAGCTGTTCGACAACCGGCTGACAGTGATCCCGAGCGGGGCCTTTGAGTACCTGTCCCGGCTGCGCGAGCTGTGGCTGAGGAATAACCCTGTGGAGAGCATCTCGCCCTACGCCTTCAATCGTGTGCCCTCGCTGATGCGTCTGGACCTGGGTGAGCTCCGCAAGCTGGAGTATATATCTGAGGGCGCGTTTGAGGGATTGTACAACTTGAAATACCTGAACCTTGGAATGTGTAACATTAAGGAGATGCCCACTTTGACCCCATTGGCGGGGCTGGAGGAGCTGGACATTTCGGAGAACTACTTCCCCGTGATCCGACCCGGATCTTTCCGGGGACTGAAATCCCTGAAGAAGCTGTGGATTATGAACTCGCAGGTCAGCCTGATCGAGCGTAACGCATTCGATGACGTCACAGCGCTGGCGGAGCTGAACCTGGCCCACAACAACCTGACCTCGCTGCCGCACGGGCTCTTTGTGCCCCTGAGGTTCCTGGTGGAGCTCCACCTCCACCACAACCCCTGGAACTGCGACTGCGACGCCGTGTGGTTAGCTGGCTGGCTACGGGACTACATCCCGACCAACTCCACCTGCTGCGGCCGCTGCCACTCGCCCGCACACATGCGGGGCCGCTACCTGGTCGACACGGACCACACCTCCTTCCAGTGCTCAGCGCCGTTCATTGCAGACGCGCCACGGGACCTCAACATCTCAGCAGAGCGGGTAGCCGAGCTACGGTGCCGGACGGCGCCGGCCTCGTCCGTGCGCTGGCTGCTGCCCAACGGGACGGTCCTGACGCATGCCTCCATGCACCCGCGCATGTCCATCCACAACGATGGTACGCTCACCTTCGCCAACCTGTTGCCCAGTGACACCGGCGTCTACACTTGCATGGTGACCAACGCGGCGGGCAACTCCAACGCCTCAGCCTATGTCAACGTCACCAATGGCGAGCTCAACACGTCCAACCTGAGCTACTTCACCACAGTGACGGTGGAGATCGTGGAAGGCCCGTCCGACGCCATGTCTAAGCCCCGGGCGGTGACAGCCTCGCCCTCCATCTTCCAGCCGGCATTCATATCCACACCCACCGTCCTGCTCCAGAACACCAAGACACCGGCGCAGGTCTCCGTCCCAACCGCCAAGGGCACAGACAAGCCAGCGGCCAGCCTGGACGAGGTCATGAAAACCACAAAGATTGTGATTGGCTGCTTTGTGGCCGTCACCCTGCTGGCCGCAGTAATGCTCATCGCCTTCTATAAACTCCGCAAGCGGCACCAGCAGCGAGGCACGGTGGACACAGCTAGAAGTATTGAGATCGCCGTGGTGGGGGATGTCGTGCAGCCCAGCAGCACAGCGGGGGAGGGGCCGCTCTCCTCGCCCTGCATCCGGGACCACAGCAGCAACTACAGGTCGGTCTACAGCACCTGCAAATCAGCACATGGCGCCCAATGGACAGAGAATGACGCCAGCAACTCCCTCCACCGGGGAAGGCGCACTATCGCTGCCGTCCCTGAGCCCTACATGATAAAGACTCACGCCAAGGAGAAGGTTCAGGAGACACAGATCTGACACTAATGTCACCTCCTCTGTCATGCAATAGAATGCACAAAAAAAAAAAAAAGACGAAGAGAGAGAGAGAGACAGTGACTCCTTTTGTACAGAGTGCTAAATGAAGTTTTTCTTGTACATGCTTATAAATAAATCATATTCATATATATATACACACATAAGGAGATATATATATATATGAATATACATATATACGGCAAAATCTACAACGGGCTGGTAAGCGGAAAAAAAAATAAATTAACTATTTTCTAACTTGTAACTTCTATTTAAAAACCGAAATGTTGTCGAATTGCTGTCATGACGACGAGGATCGAGGAATGGATGTTTCGGGGGGCCAAAGGGCATTCTGTACATTTTTAGATGACGCTACATAGGTTGCAGTAAATATTGATTTATACGGAGAAGACTTTCTAATAAATGGCCTGAATTGAATCTTTACAGGTTTATCTTGTAAAAAATTAAAAAAAAAAAAAAACAAAAAAACAAAAATAAAAAATAAACCCCAAAAAAAAAAACAAAAAAAAAAAACCAACACTAAGGGTCTGTACCGTGTTATAAACACAAAGGATTGTTCTGAATGCAGGTGGGGAACTGAGTTGGGGTGTTCTGTGGAAATGTACGCGGGACAGATGCAGGTCCAGTCTACTGCGCTGGAGCTGCACTGAGCATCAGCGCAGGACTGCAGCACAGCTTAACCCTGCGCTTTCCGGATGCTGGTCTGCGGCTTGAAGATGTGTGTTAAGGAGGAGAGGAGATGGGGAAGAGAAAAGGAGGTTGTTTATTCAAAAGATGCTGCATCGATCTCTGAAATTTACTCACAGAATGTAAATGAATAATTCAATAGATGTTCAAAAAAAAAAAAAGTTATTGACCTGTAAACACGGGAGACGATTCAGATCGTAATTAGAGAATTAAACTGTTTGTGGTTTGACAGCGGCTCGCTGCGAAATGAGAAATGAAGTTTACTTTGGCGATGAAAATGATCGTTTGGTTTCTGGGTTTTTCATTTCTTTTTTTCCCCCAAGTCGCTGGAACACTGCCAGATTATCACAGAGAGGGCTGTTTATTTATGACAAATCGGAGTCTGTTTAAATAAAAGCTGCCCCCCCCCCCCCCCCCCC